ATCTATATTGAGGAGGCAGAGTGAATGGTACACAGTCCAGGCAAAGAAATTATTGGTCTCTGTTAGATGGCTCCCACAGCTGTGACCCTCCTGGTCCAGCCTCCCACATGAAGCAGATGTCTTTGCATATCTCAGGAGAGAGTGCTTCCAGGGAAAAGGAAGAATCTGACCCAGAATCATAAAAAACAAAGATAAAGGAAGTCCTGGTCTAGGGTTAGGAGTCAGCTATAAACGTGTTTCTTCTGTTTTGAGTTGTGTGCAATCCTCTATTGCAGTAAGAGAGAAGGAAACTCCTAGCAGTCCAGTCAGTAAGACTTAGTTTCTTTCCCATTGTAGAGGAAAGCCAGGCTGTACTAGACTAAGTGGTGCTAATAGCAATATAAGAATGACTTTATCACACTCAAACAGAATTCCCATTAGCCCAGTCCCAACAGAGACAACAGCAAGTGCCTAGAAATCTACATGCAATGATACATGCCCAGCACACCTTTCCCCAACTCTTCCTGAACTAAGGCAGTGCTAGTTTACACTTTTTTTCAGATAAAAATAGAAGAGTTGGTCTTGGATCAAGCAATCACAACTTGATTCAAATTGAATCCAATGGAAAGAAAAGCTGAAGTATATCTGTAACTGAGTATCTTAATAATAATAATAAAAAGGTGAATTAATAATTTCATGTATGGTAATGAATTCACCTACATGTGGATTTAGATAGTCAAATCTGCAAGAGATTTGGAATTTCCATTAGTTAAAAATATATGAACTAGAGTTTCTATGCAAAGAGAGTGAAGAGACATCTAGAAAAACAACCCAATGTAACAGGAAGAAATTATATATCTTGAAAAGAATTTTAGGGACAAGCAGAATATGTAAATGAGAGGCAAAAGAAATTTTCAGAGAAAGAAACACAGAATGAAAGTGAATTCTGAAAGCATGGGAGCCAGTAGCAAGTACCTACACCTGGTATAGCAGAAAACTGTGCTTAACTTGTGTCGTTCCTTCCAGCTCTGCTTTCCTTACTAGTGCTGTTATTCCTACTTTAATGTTGTTTCTCTCTTGCTCTGCTTTACATCCATGTGGATGTAAATAGTAAACCCCCGTTTATTTTCAGCATTCATCCGGGTTAGGTACCTTTACTAAATTTTGGCAAGGAGTTAAACTAACTCATTTCTTCCTATGCAAAAATTTCTTTGCTATCTTGTAATTCTGCATCTTTTCACTCTTCCTCCTATCCCTTATCACTACCTTAATTCAATAGCTTAAGAAAATGTCTTCTTTTGTTCCACTCCAGCCTCTCCCATATAGTCCACTCGGTTACAATTGCTTTTAACATTTTTAACTGTAGTAAACAATTATTTTGATTCTGATATTTTGGATTTTTTGAGGAAAAAAAACCTTGTCTCTTTAGTAAAAAACATTTGCCCAAGAGATGATGCTTATCTAGGTGCTATTTTCATTTCTAACGTTCCCTTCCTCAAAATACTTGAGAAAATATCTTTTCTGACCTCAGGAGTTATTAGAACAACATTGAGAATAAGGAAAAAGGAATGAGTTCTGACTAAATGGACAGTTTACAGAGAGAAGCTCCAAAAAGGCTGTATTGAAGTGGGGAAGTCTTGAAGAAAGAGAAAGGATTAAAGGGAGACCTGAGACTGTAAGATGACCCACTGGAAGAAAATTACTCCCTTCTCCAGTATACCTCCACCTGAAATTGGGCACTGAAACTTGTATCCAAGCACTGACCCCCCCCCCCCCAAAAAAAAAAAACCAAAAAAACAACCAACTAAACAAAAAAAAAACGCTAAAAAATAATCCAGAATTTGACCTTCATTCTTTCAGCACAATATTGTCACTTTTTGTGATATACCATGAAAAAGAAGTCTTCTAATTACTGGACTGTTTTTACAGATATTTGAGAGCAAGACTTTACTTCTAATTTGTATTTACATTACATTACATTACAGCTTAACGTAATTTAATACTTTAATCTGTCCTGAGACCGAATGGAAATGGTGGAGGGGGAAGCTATAAGGACAGTGAAAATGCCATCCTACTGCAGGGTGGATAAGTGGTATGCTTTCTCTTGTTTGAAAATTTACAACAGCTCTGAGTTTTTGTGAGGTATATAATCAACCTGTGGAGCAAGGAAGCAATAGAAATGTCTGGATCAATGTTTCTGAGTTTAGTGAGGGGTTTTGGAAAAAGAACATGGAGCTTTTCTGTCAGGAGAGAAATACTGCTCTTGTAGCAGACGGCTTTTCATGGCACTTTACAGCTTTATTTTTCTTTTCTTCTCCTCCACACTGTAGAGATAATATGTCTTCCAACAAATGCAACTCAAACATGTTCTCTAGGTGAAATCTAAATAAAAAACCTTAAAAAGGTAAAATGAAAAAGTTTGGATGCTAATGTTTTGTACAATAATTTTTTTTTTCTGTCTGCCCTTAATATGCTTGTCAAATCTTCAAGAGCAACCAATGCAAACCCTGGAATTGTGAAATTAGTTCAGAATAAATCAATGTACTGTGGTAAAAGCATTGAATTTTTTCTTCATCAGCAGCTGAATCACACTGCTCATAACATTTGCTGGACAGAGTGCTCATGAACTAGATTGTTGCTTCACAATCATGCGCTATTAACTTTTGCTGTAAATGTGTTTTTGTCACTTGGTAATTTGATTTAAAAAGAAAAAAGAAAGCTGGAAAACTTTTATTGAGGTTTTTGATCCCTGTAGAGAATAGTGAGGTTCCCTTTCAATAATTTACAATATAGCATACTTTGAAATTTGTTAAGTGAACATACTACAGCTAATAATTGTGTAATGAAATATAAAGCAAGCATGAACAAGAATCTACTGCAAGTTTTTTGATTCCATCAAGCCCCAAAGTCAATTGGTACTTAGTTCCAGCCAACCATTTCATCTACTGATAATATTACAGCTAACAAGCTAAAGGCTCTCTTCCCCTGCAGCTTTTGACTGTACCTGTACAAGTAAACTAAACAGGTTTGGGGCCTGGCCTTAAGCACAGTCCAGAATCACCCATCTTGTCCAAATTAGTTGTGGCAAATCAGGAGCCACAAGAACTTGGGCCCTCATGTGTATCTTTAATGATAGCTGGGCAGAATTCTGCATGAGCTGAGGGCTTTTCTCAGTAAGAAGTAGAGACAGGGGTATTGTACTTTGAGATAAAGGAATTTTAGTTGTATAGATGCCAACAGTAGGGAATAACTGCAAGACACAGCCCTTGCATGGCATGGTCAGCTACTGCAGTGGTCTCTCGACTGGCTGCTGTCAGTGACTCTAAGGACAAGATCCAATATATAAATCTACACCTGACTCATTCATCCTAGCTGCCTTTGGGCATAGAAATAGGCATTTCTAATGGTGTAAGATACTTATTTCAAGATGGGGTTAGTCACATCCTTTTTCTTTCGGTTGATTTTATAGAAAACTTGCTCAGATAAGTTGCTCAGATAAACCTGTTGAAGCAGGCAGTTGCAAATGTCCAGGTCAAAGAAAACCCAGGTTCAGTCATTCTCAGGCCTCCCTAAATCCTTGGGGCAATGGAGCTGATCTGCTTTTCAGGCAAAATGGGATTGTCCAAGGTGCAGAGCTGGGTTCCAGGAGAGCAAGAAGACTGCAGTTCCTTCCCCCATGAGTAGTCCCTGATGTGGTGTATGTACTGCACCGGTGTGCTGGGGAAGCCCTCCAGCTGTGCCATGGCTACATTTGGCTGGGAACAGATCATGTCCAATTGTCTTCTAGAGACAGTTTCCCCCACAGAAGGGCCCAGAGAATGTGTGACACTACTCCTTTGGAGAGTCCTTGAAATCTGCTGAGCTGGGAGACTGGTCTGTGTGTGAATATTTGGCTTCCTTTAGCTGTTAGAAGGTGTAAGAACTTGTTCCTCCACTGGTCCCAACAGCATAAGCTTCTTCAACCCCATGCAAATAATTCAGTAACTGGCTTTGTCTCTCTTTATTTGAGTATATATCAGCACTGGTTCTGTATTCAGTCAATTAAATCACGTGCCCAATTGTTGTAGCACGCTATTAAATATTAAGAGAAAGGGAAATTAAGTAACACTTCACCCTTCTTAGCAATTTATAAGCCCACCTAACCTAAATGACAAATTTGAGTCGGATGTGTTGTGTTAGGCAGATTTAATGCAGTGCAGGATTTACACTTGGCTGCTGCTACAGCAAGTTAGTGCTAACCAGACGTGGGCAGGGTGGGGCAGATTATGTGAACCCTTCATGGCCAGGAGAAACTCATCTAGAGAGAAAGCTAAGGCAGTTCCAGCCTGATTCTTTTTAATGTCACAGTTCATTTGCAGAACCATAACTGGAATCAAGAATTAAAAAGCCTTGTATAAAAGTCAGTAACATTAAACCTTTAAGACTCATGTTTCATGTGTCATAAAAAGTCTATGAAAGGATTTTATATTCTGTACAGTGTTTTAGCACTTTCAATCATTTTTTTTCCAACATAACTTTTGTGAACACTTTTATAGCCTCTAAATGAAAAACTAAACTATGTGTCATTCAAAAAAAGGTTTTATGGATCACAGAATTTAATATAAGTTCTGCACCATAACAAGGAACTGATAAACCTATATTAGAATTAATTTAAAATGTTGGAAACAGTTTTAGAAGATTGTGCATCACACATAGGGGTAAACAACACTAGTAAGTAAAAAATGCTTTGTATAGACACACTCTTTGAGAGTGAACTGAGGTGCCTTAACAGAAATGGTTTAAGTGGTTAAAAAATTATGTTTATGCCATGTATATTCAAATCTAAAATTTTCATGTAAGTGAAAATATTTTACATAATGGAATAAACGCTTAAAAAAATCATCAAATGCACACGACAATAAAATCCAAGTTGAAACTCTATCCAGTAATATACAACATGATATAAGGTCTAATCTTTCTCCAGGGAAAAGAGTGTTACTCCTCAGTGTCATTAACATTTATGAATTAAGGCTTCTTCATGAAATGGCAAAATTAAAGTTATATTCTTCAGGTACTAATCCTATAATATACATCTGTTTTACACTAATGGGGAAATATCTTATTTCTTTAATACATGATGGTTATGTGCTGGTATCAAAGGAAGAATGTACCTTAGGAAATATGTATAAAAGTAACAATTTGCACATTTCATCCCCTGTAAAATGCTGCACAGGCTTAAGCAGTAATTTTCCAAAGACTTTTACAAGGTAGGTAAGTATAATCTGCCAAATATACAGAATGAAATCTCATTGATTATTCCCAGTTTTTCATGCTGTTTCTGTTCAGGTCTATCTGTTCCGTCTGCAAGAGGGCCAAAGGGAACCTCCCTTCTACACTTCCTGTTCAGAGAGGCTTTTTCTTTTGGGACTATTTTTCTGCCATTGACCATGCCTACAACTCCATAGAACCAAAGAAATAATATGAACTACAATACATTATGAGTGGCAACAAAGAAATGCATAAAAATAGAACCACATTCATTCCTCCTAGGTTTAGTAGTTAAAGAGCTTCTTGTCAGGGCTTCATTTTATGGTTCATGAGAAAGCAGTTGTTCATTAGGGCTGAAATGAAGCCTATTCATTCACCACTCCAGCCTGGCAGTCAGAGTTCTAGATGTTCCCAGCAACAGACAATCTCTCTGGAGGCCAATTATTTATAAATGGTGGACAGTTTGATCTTGGCTAAGTAGGTCTTATCAAAGGAAAACAGCAAGTGTGGGAGTGCCTCAGAGCTCTCTTATCTAAATGTCTAGGCCTGCATTGCAGACATCTGTTCACGAGCTGGTGTTAAAGCTCACAGGGCAGTCAGCTGCACCGTTCATGCTCCGTGCACACCTGCCCAGTTCTGTGTCAGGTGAGAGCTTTGGGAGCAGCAGCATGAGGTTCACTGGGATACCTCAGAGTGACTCAGGCAGTACCAGAAGGTGCCACACATGCAAAGGAATCAAGGCATGTTGGAACCCTGAGGCCACTAGTTAATATGTTGGAACATAGCCACTAATAAAGGCACAGATCATTTTGTTGACTATAGCTGGAAACTTGGACACCTAACTCTCAAGTAGCTACTGTATGGGATATGGCTAAATGTGAATGAATGTGGGGCAGAATCTCAATCCTACCCTGTGAGTGTGGGAGAAAGAGCAGCCATACGAGGAGGAGCATATTGGAAGACCAGGACTGAGTGCTGTATTGCTAGAACTGCATGATGGGGAGCATAGTACAACAACAAACCATTTATTGGCTTAGACAGAAGTTCCCTTTGGTTAAGTGTCAAAATTTTATCAGTGGCATTACACGTCTTTTTGTGTGCTGACATGATCCTTAGTTTCCTTTTGCTATCTTTTAGAAGGCCAGGGGCACTTCATATTTTTTTTATTCTTTCTGTTAAGTACATTTTGGTGATTTGGCCACTCACATAGGTTGTAACCAGTTCACTGTCTTCACATTTCAAAGACAGGAACCACAGGCACAATTTGAGCCAGAGAAGAAAGCAATGAGTATCTGTGCTGCTTGTCCTTGGCTTTGCTGCCTACTTGTGCAGACTGTGATGAAGCAGTAAATTGGCTCACACACTATCTTTGTCAAAGTTTATCACAGAGCTACATACTTTTTTTGTGTGCTTGCCCTATCCTTTTTACACTCCAGTGTGCCCAATGAATCTTGGGTGCAGTCATCACAGTATGCAAAATCTATGTATATTTCACATTTTTGTGTATCTCTCCTCCCCTTAGCATCGGTATTGCCAGGAGACCTTCTGCTGAGGAAATGCCCATTGAACTTAACTGCTCAGTACCTCTTATATTAAACATTTAAGGACGTCCTTAAATTGAAACACATATCCATGATTTTCCTGTTCAACGAGGTATTTAAATATGCTTAACTTTTGGGCCTAAGGAGTGCTCTTATAGGCTTTACTGAATTTGTGACAAAATAAACTGGTTTGTGAGTTAAAAACAAAACTGATGTTTTGTTAACTCTACATCAACAGCAATAATTTTGATTTGCCATGTGTCTCGCTTTTGCTAGCTAATTTTAATTCACAGGCATTTCATTAGATGTGAGTTAACTGTAGAAGAAATAGCCTTGTGGCTTTATGAATCTTCTAGGGAATTTAAGCAACAGGCTTGTTGACAATGTACTACTTCCCTGAAAAGTCAACCTTGTAACTTGTATAACTATGCCTAACCTTAGCAATACTTTTAAAATTACTTGTACACACATCACCTTCCCTACATGTTTTGACAAATGACACATTTCCTTTGGTGCTTCTTTGTGGGTAACAGCGTGTGAGGATATGGTACTGGCAAAATTTATTACAGTTATTTTGTAGTTGATATTAAAGAACATGATGTATTATATCAGGTGTCTGACCTTTAAAGATGTTAGGACCCAATTCATTACAACATAAAATTTACATATTATTCAACATTCTACTGTCCTTTTATGAAGAAGTCATGATGCATACGTACATGAGATTTAGGGCAGACAACTATCCCTGCACATTGAAGACTAGAGATTGAAGACAATGGGAAATAAAAAATATTGCAGTTTGGAAAAGATTCACTTTTTTAATCCATGAAATGGATTACTCTGGCTGCACCTTTTTGAACAACGTCTTAGAAAAAATAAATGGAGCACACAGAGACAATGCTGTATTGGATATTAGCTGTATTCCTGTGTCTTTTGTAAATCCTGACAAGACCTACCTGTCTCTGTTCCTGTGTTTGATGAAGTTTTGCACTGATAGGATATATGAAGACTCAGGCTGGGGGATTTCACCAGTGAGAAATTGATGAGTTTTTCTGTGCATTGTGTTTGCAAATACTCAGCTGGAACCCACTCTGAAAATTGTACCAGCAGTCCTACCTTTTTTTTCTCTGCCTAATTATTCTTATTTTTTGGGGGGATGAACATGCATTCTTTGCCACAGTAGATAGCAGCAGCTGCAGTTACCACTTTCTATAACTGATACACGTCAGGTGTACAGCTGATATTGTGCACCTGATTGTTGTGCAGTCAGTTGTGGATATCTGGAGATATCCAGATGTTCACACCAGCAGCTGTTCTGCTGCATTTGTGCCACTGCTGCAAGACCTTGCTGTTGGAGAGGACCCTATCATTTCATACCAGTAGAAGTACAAAGGCAATACATGCGGGGGGGGCTAAGACACTTGATACAGCAACTGTAAATTGTCTGAGCTCCAAAATCTGTATAGAGGAGTGGTAGGGACAAATAAGCAGTACACACTGATTTTTGTTGGAAGGTGGGTAGCTCTTTCATTCCAAACATTAGCTGTAACCTCTTATAAAGTCTGTGCTGGCATCTCTACTGATTTGCATGACTTTGTTGGTATTCTATGGCATCTTGAGGCAGCCTTTTGCAAAACACCAGAATTTATTGACAGATTTCAGTGTTGTGTCAAGATCATAGGCTTAACATGATTTTCACTTGGAGAAGAGTGGATCAAGACCAGATCACTTTATTTTTTGTTATTCTAGGAGTCAGACTCCAGAGGTAAGACCCAGATGCCTAGATTTAGGTAGGCAAAGTTGCTTTCTGAGGGTCTTTAAGACCATCTATTTCTCTCCATTAGTTAGACAGAGTCACTTATGAAAGAATTTATTTGCTAGGACCACCCCCCCCCCGCCCCCCCCCGACAAATATGGCTTCAAGCTGTTATCCTATTTTATCTAAGGGTTGCTGATCACATTTCCTTCAGCAAAGGCTTGGACCTGGGCTTTGAATTCGAACTGATTCTCTATGGATTGAAAATTCCACCTTCTGTTAGGATACGGAACATGGGCTCTTTATTGTTATCACAAAATGTGATAATACAGGCAGTAATGCGCATAAGAGATGAAAAAGAGGACTGAGACAAGGACATGTCCTGCCTGAGTTAAGCAGGGTTTTACTTGCAAAGCCAATTTTGCAAGAATGTGACTAAACTACCTTCAGAAGTTGAATAGACTGATATAACGTTGGGTAATAAAGGCGAGTAATAATTATGGTTTAATTTACCCTGACTAGACATAGGCGTTATGAGACTATTTTTATTTATATGCTCCACCTGCATAATTTTTTCTGTATTTATTTTTAAAAGTGAACCTGAGCACTGGGTGTTTGTCAGATTTTTGTCAAGAATGATGCTGTCTACTTATTTTCTTACAGATAATAAAGTAATACTGGGAAGGGCATATTTTACCATAAGTTAGCCTTCTAAATGCTGGGTGCTAATTATTAAGCTAGTCTGGAATCTTTCTGTAACTAGGGAGTATGGATGGACACCTACTCTCCTGTCCAATTTATGCCTACAGTGGTTTAGTGGTTCAGCCAATCTCCCTTTTGTCAGGAGAGAGGCAGGATGGCCAGCTTGGGGCTAACGTCTAGGTGGCTCAGATTTGATGAAGTAATCCCATGTGTAGTGGCCAACATAAGAGATTGCAAAAATAGGAGAGAAGGTGTCATGGTAAAGGGAGCTGAATGCAACCATAGGGAATTTTACTCTATCTGTGCATCTGTCAGGGAATTCCTGTGGGATGCTTGGCAAGTCACTGAACAGGTGGTCAATAATTGTGTGTTTCTTGTGTTATGGGTGTCTGGAGTCTGATTTACAGAAGCAATAAGCATTCACAACTGAAATTGAAGTAAATTGTAATTTTATTGTAGAATGCTACATGCTCATAAATACTTGGGTTTGTTGTTCTTAAACTGAACATTGCAAACTGGTGAATACTTTGGGGCCCAAATTCTTTGTACCATTATTCCCAATTGTAAAATGGAAATAATGACACTCATCTCCCAAAGGTGTTAAGAAAGTTTTACAAAGAAGCCCTTGGGGAAACAAATAATTCTGTGTTCAGAGCAGGATTTGACTTGTGTACAGCAAGACCCTGGTTCATATGCTGAACAGTGAGGAAGCAACAATATTGAAAACTTGTTTGTTAACTAAGCATTAGACCTAACATGAATTGAGTGAAACAAGGGGAAAACATAGAATGTGATGATGCCAACTTAAGAATTCTTAAAATGCAGTGCAGGAGCAAATTAAAGTTCTCAGAGGTAACCTTAATTTTGATGTTTCACCGTTCTTGACTGACAGAATCTCGT